CTGTCAGACCCATGTAGTTTCTACTCGAGTCTCGCTCTAATCGGATTCTCCCGAAGAACTCTTTCTCTCTCAATCCGAATGACCCTAGCTAAGGATTTGTCTGAACAAGAACATGTGGGATATTCCTCTCATGACACCGAGAGTGGATGATCCTCTATCGACACTCAATAGCCCTCGTAAGGTCGACTGTCACTCCCAATGATCGATTGTACTAGATCTGGTACATTCAAACATATAAATCCGGTATCAAAGAATGGAGCACTCATACAGGATATCCTTGGTATCTCAAGTCTAAGGACCATATACACCACTGGGACTACGAAATCGCTGTCTGATAATAAGGCATCATCAACCATCCAATATTCCATAAGTGGATCAATCAATGAACTCATTATCTATTGAGCACCTGTACTGTATCTCTAATGTCCCCACACGAGCAGCTATGAGACCAAGTGCATCCATCGTATGGACGTATATACAGTACACCAATATATTCGGTTATCTCGATGTCCCTCTCGAGTTACCTATGATCGGGATTATTTATGATATATATTTAAAAACGAATTGGTCTCATTATCGTGATCTCATCACGATCCAATTCTCATTGCACAGATCCAAGTATATCACAATATATACATGCATATGTGCAATAGTCAATATAAAATGATAAATGTCAAAATATAATAAGCAAAAAGATTATGTATTAAGTCACACATGTCATTACTCACGTGATTGACTTGCTGGGCACATATGACTAGCAAGTTGATCTTTGCCCATTAAAAGAAGATCATTAGTAGATGTTGGTGGCCTCGACAGAAGAGAAATTAGCGGGTGGATATAGGTCATAATAATCGAACCACTATAAAAATCTGGTTTGCATTTCGGTTTGAGAAATTTATCTTTCCTACAAACTACTTACCATCTTACTGTTTTCACTACGCTCTCGTACACTTTCAAATTAATATCTTTACGAAATGATTTTTGTCGGAATCAGATTTAATCGAAACAAAGATTTTTCAAATCGAAATAATTTTTTCAACTACGCTAATTCAATCCTCCCTCTTAGTACCGATTCATTCCTAACACTTAGCTGACGTGATGAATCGGATTCACAGAGTGCTCGATCACACGTGATTAATCATATCTCACCACCTCTCATCGGATTAAAAATACACTCGTGGGTTTCTTCATAAGTATCAGCTAATCAGTCCCGAGGTAACTCCACAAGCATTACCACAATACATCAACAGACCAAGAAAAACGAAGGCTGTGTGGGACAGCGTGCAATGCAATTGGCAGCGTGGATATGTGCACTGTATCTGAATTCACGTCCGCTTCTCTTATGTTGGCTATTTCGTTGTGTTGGATTCAGTGAATCGCTCCAGTGGGCACGACGACGCCTTTGGATTTTGCTACGGATTCGAAGTGACCCCACCGTATCTTTATACGCCGCCGGCGCCGGCGCCGCCACGGCAGACGCTGACAAGTACTCCTTTTTATATTAGTAACCTCTTTGTTCATAAACAAAATAACAATAAAACTTGGTTTTTCTTAATTGAATTGTTAGATGGATGATTAGGGACAAATATTTATAGAAATTTGGATATGATATTTGCATTCCAAATCATAAAATAGCATTTATACCCCTCCAATGTTATTTATTTATTTATTTATTATTATTATTATTATTATCTACTTAAATTTATCACTTTAGCTATATTCTTATTTGTTAAGTACTTTATTTGATGCTTCAATCTTGTGGTTGATTGTGTATGGAACCTTTTAATAATCGTTTTAGATTATATAATTATTTCTCATTTATAGAGTAGTAGGTAAGCAATAATGAATCGATCTTAACTACGATACGAAAAATGAGCTGATATATTTTCGGAGCAATTAATTCGAACCACATTTCCGATTGAATTGAATATAAATACCAATTATTTGCATCGTAGTTTATCATTAATTGTTCGAGAATTATTTTTATATAATGTAAAATAATTCAATAATTCAATATTATATATATATTTATTTATTTATTTATTCGTGTCTAATTTTGGTTAAATTTGTAGGTTTTTTGGATTCAATTTGAGTATTTAATTTTTCTGAATTCATATCAAAAGGCAAAATGTTTGCTCCGCCGCTATCCCTCACTTAGGTGGGGCCCAGTTACCTTGGCCAATGGGAGGCTCTGTTACCTCACCACGACACCAGACAACGTTACACGCAGGCATTAGAGCGACACGTGTTCGGGACACCTAATAGGTACAATCCATACCGAAGCCATGACCGCACGCTGATGATTTCCTATGATCCATTGACCCAGCCGCCGCAGGTCAAAGACGCATGTGCCATTCGAAGCCTCCGGGTCCCACCCTCCCTATCACGTCTCGGCCAATGGAATTATCCAACCCAGACACCCTGACCGGTATAAACAGCCGGGGATTCTGAGGCTCTTATGCCGCGAAACCACACGAGCCGAGCAAGAAGAAGCCTGTTTCTCCGTCGATGGATTCTCCAAACCTCTACTTCCGCTGCTCCGAATCCTCGGCCGCGTCCACACCCGAATCCCCGGAACCTGCCCCGTGCTCCCGCCTCGACCAACCGCTTCCCTTCGACGTGAACGACGCCGATGAGATGCTCTTGCTGGACATGCTCATCGATGCTCCCGACGTGTCTAACTCTACCATGGCGGCAGAAGAGGTCGGGTCGAGCGTGACGGCGGAGCCCCCGGGGAGCGAGAAGAGCTACAGAGGGGTGCGGAAGCGGCCGTGGGGGAAGTTCGCGGCGGAGATCAGGGACTCGACGCGGCAGGGGGTGAGAGTGTGGCTGGGCACGTTCGACGACGCGGAGGCGGCCGCCTTGGCCTACGACCAGGCGGCATTGGCGATGAGGGGGACGGCGGCGGTGCTCAATTTCCCGGCCGAGCGTGTGCGGGCGTCGCTGCGGGACCTCGAGCTGGGGGTGGATGGGTGTTCCCCGGTTCTGGCACTGAAGAAGAGGCACTGCATCAGGAAGAGGAGGAGGTCAGGGGGCAAGGTAATGGAGAGTGTTGTGGTCTTGGAGGACTTGGGAGCAGAGTACTTGGAGGAACTCTTGAGACTGTCAGAACCTGCAAGTCCTTGGTGATCATCCAATGGTTTTGCTTTCCTGTAGCTTGTTCGTTGTGATGACAAACAGCTTCACAAGTCTAATGATTTGCTCATTCCCATAAAATCTGGATCCATCTTCTTTCTTGATGCTTCACTGTATATTAAACCATGGCTGCATCATCATGTGGCCTACACAACGAGCAAAGATCTTCTCTCTCTCTCTCTCTCAATTTAAGATACATGCTCAGATTACCATGTCAAAAGGTAGGCTATGCCAAAAGAGGATGTCATGTTGCCTTGTTTCAATGAGCTCCATGTATTGCTAGACTCTGTCCAACTGAGTTTACGGCTCATATTGTTTGGATTGGAAGAGTTGATCTGAAACCATCTGAGATATGGGAGTGAGACAGAGATCATGTTTACTGGAGGAAACGATGTGCCCATCCCATATATTATATACGTATATAACAGTGGTTGTTCAAGAAATATATATACATATATAGTAGATAGGATAGCACAATTAAACAGGGGCTGTTCAAAAAATACATCACCCACACATTGATCATAGACATATTAAAGTTCGAACATGATCCAGCTTTGACAATCCTACAGTTTACTAGCAGCTAAGATCCAGCTGGTGCAATTGTATACAACCTTCTCTTGCATCATGGTGTTGTGTGTCAGTGGGTGTAGTGGAACTTTCAGCTCTGTTCTGAAATTTTCTATCAGTTTACAAAGAAATATCACATCATCTATAGAGTGCTTTCCCAAATTTTCCTGTACTTGAACCTTATTTTGAGATATATAATAAATCAATAGATCAGCAGCTGATTGATTGATGGAAAGAGAAAATGAAATAGAAGTTCTCTCTTCCTTCCCATGTGGTGTTTAGAAAATCTCATTCTTTTGCATGCAGTAGTTAGAAAATCTAGTGATAGAAACAACTCAATGGTTCACAAAATTTTCCTTTGTTTTACAAAAATAGAATTTTATGCTACCAGGAAAGCACTAGAGAAAAAAATGAGCAAAATAGAAACAAGATTGAATAACTTGGATCATCATTTGGTTGCTCTTTTGTAGGCTACCAAGCTGGCCATCAGAAATGACTTGGACTGCAGTTTGATCCCCCCCCCTTTTTTTTGCTTTCCCTTACAAATAGGTCAATCTTTTCTGTGGCAAGTTTGTGGTCAAAATAAAAATATTTTCTCAGATCTCTATGATCTAAATTTAGGATATACTGACATGCATGATATCCTTGGACTCAACTTTAAGCAGAACTAATCTGACAATGATGTGTCTGTAGGTGGAAATATTCAACATGAAAGAACGAAGGGGAAATGCACTTCCTGTGATGAAGACAAATACGCATGGGTCACATCGCAATCCATTTATGACTTGGTCCTGAGTTGTTATTGTCATTGTTCCTTCCTGGAACTTAATCCAACCATGGTGGACATCACATCTTATGATTATATATATATATATATATATATATATATATACACACACATGTGGCTGTTGTTTTAATATTATATCCATGAGGTCATGTCGACATCACATGTGGCTCTAAAATGTCAGGAATATTATGTGAGCCATAATCTTAGTGGTCAAGATGCATGATGAAGTCAAGTTTTAAGACCATTGACTCTTCCTTTAATTTTGGGTGGAGATGTAGGCCTGAGATAGCATTGTTTAGGGCCTCACATTGAGATCAATGCCGTATGCAGGTGGGATTACCTGAACCTGTCACATCTTGCATCACCAACATCCTTGTGATCTCAATCATCTATCTATTTTGAATAAAAATAATTAAACACGGCATAGCTGGTAGGACCAAAATAAATTAAAATTAGAATAACTCTTCTGCGGTCCCTTCCAACCCTTACAAACATGCTTAGCCTTCACCTGTACAATTGTCTCAGGTTGTCTTCAGAACCACATGTTTGCAATTTAAGGAGGCACAATGATCACTTTATACAATGGGGTGGGAGGTGAAGACCAGCCACGGAATGGTGTTACACAAATCACTGCTTGCTTCCTCACAGGTTTTAGACATTACATGCAGTACCCCAGCTGTTCTGAATGACAATCCATCCTTGTACAGGATTCGTGAAGTGAGACAAATAGGAAATATGTTTTGACACTGTTCTAAATCCTTGTTAAGGACGTGCTGGAGTGGGTAAAAAGGTAGGACTCCCTTGGAGATCTGTTCACGTGTGTTTGTACATTTCCCGGTCCAAGAAAGCGCACCAAAATTGATTGTGGCTTGTATGGACAAAACTAAGCATATGTCTCAGTTCTTTTGGAATGTCACCATGCAAAACAAGGCAATGCAGCGGAAAACTACGCCGTTGATAACTAGGACCACTATACACAGCCACCAGTCACCGATGTTGTAGCCGTTCTTTATGAGAGAACCGCACCGAGTCACCAGCCACACTCCAGAATACCTGAAACAGACAGTGACGGTATCAAAGCGAGCATATCAATAGATTTCTCTTGTGTTTCAAGTGCTTTATTCTTGTTTTCTTTCCGGAATGATGAGATGAGTAAAACAGAAAGCAGAGTGTTAAGTACTAGTATGGGTGCTACTTGATGTACAGGTGAAGAACCGCAACTGAAGTTCACATTATCAAAAGAAATATATCTTAATCAATATTGTTGTCCGACAAAAAATTAGCTCATGGGGCTAATACAAGAGCCGCATTCCAGGCATATAAAGCAATCAGCAACAGAAACGGGGTGCCATTTTGCGTGCCAAGAGCTCATATATAAGCTTTAGCTTCAGATGATGGCACGTTAGACAGCTGAACTCGAGCATGATTCAAAGGCCAAAGTTATGTTTATGCTGATGTTTACAAATAAAATGCATGAAATTGTAACTCTTAGTACTACTAAATCCCAAGAAACAACTTAAGCGCTGTATTTAAGCTAACAAACACATCAAAGTTGCCAGGTTTAAGCTGTCAACAAGCACGTCCTGTCAATGGGAATAACTCATATGCTCTATTAACATAGATGGGTTAGAAATGCAATGGTTGTTTAACCATACCTTTCAGCATTTGCAATTACAAATGCTTCCAGAGCCCACTTTGTATAGCATAAATTTGCCAAGAATTTTGAAGTCTTCTGCTGAGTTGCTAGGAGAGTTAAAACAACAGGAAGTAGCACCGACCACTGCAACATGAAACACGAATGTTAGTGATGCAAAATGATATGAACGAGAAAGGGCAAGTCCAAATGGTATTGATTCTGTGATGGAACACACACCAATTGTGCTGAACCTGGCTGGAAGAACATTGCAAAAGCATATGCGATTCCGGTTACACAATAAACAAGTCCGACCAAGATGATGTAGTTATCTAAGATGGAAGACCTGGGATTGTTGAAGAAGTAGAACATAGAGAGATAAACTATTGGCTTGATTATCGTATTGAAATGATCGATTGTATCTCTTGCTAGAAAATAAGCCAGCGAACTCATGCCAGAAGCTCTTTCTCTCAAATATTGCAACCTTTCAAGTGAAAATGATCTCAGTGCTCCAATCTTGCACAAAAGAGCTGCAATTTAACAGTAATTATCGATCATAGTAGGAAGTATAAACTTTTTGCTCCAGATGCTACATGAATCGCAATGTACAAGATGACATTAAAAAAATATAACTGAGATGTCATGATCTTAGCATGCATTTGTTATCAATAATGAGTTGTATTAAATAACACACGATGTAAACTCATGAAGCAAACGTTTGAAATTAGGCAATCTCCGACTTACAAACGGCAATGACGGTGTATGTGTAACCCAGTGCTCCAAATGTTTCATCGCTCACTTTCGCAAGTGTTCCTAAGCACACACCAGCAAGACATAAGATAAGAAAGTCAACTCCTTGTATTCTGGCCTCCCTAAGACGTTGCTTGCCAACCCTGAACATGAAGAGTTACGCATCAAATTCGAAAGCTCAGTAAAAGAAGATGAACAAGTTTCACTTTTGAGACACCTAAGCTGTAAAGTTACCTTCCCAAGAAATACTTGTATTGCCTGAGAACACCGGGAGTTCCGCGGTTGGACAAATCTTTGGATTTAGAGAAATTGTACTCGTACTCATCTCGCTTTTGTCCTACGATATCCTTCACATTATCCCATACTTCTCCAGCAATGGATTGTGTCTCAGAGCCAGTGGTAGCAGGACTTGATCCACCTCCCCTCACTGATGCATCGATGTCACCAGCATCCTGTAGCATATCTCGGGGCACTTCGTACCCATTGTGCAACATCCATCGCAACGGCAGCTCCTTATAATTCACACCTGTACTTGTGCTTGGCTTCACTATCCCTTCTAAAATATCAATGAAGTAATCAGGAGGGTTCACGCGCTCGGGGACATTAATCCCTAGTCCTGCAAAGTATTCTTCCACTTTCTTCACTGATCCGTGGTATACTGTCAGCCCTCCTTTTGCTAGAAGTATCAAGTCATCAAACATCTTGAACAACGTATAGCTGAATCAGAAGAAAATTGCACTGAGTTATTCGTTTCTACGGAGCAGTGATACATTTACTTCTGCAAGCAATAGATATAGAAATTGCTCTGAACATTTGCAAGTTATGCTTTGTGCAGGAAACGATGTGCTGAGCTTATAGTTTGTACGAATGAGATCTATCATGCAAGAAAATAGAAATTTAAAGGTCAGTTTGCGTTTTGAAGTTATACAACTTCATGCATATGCAGAAAAAGGGATGAAGGCAATTGTACGCTTAACTGAAGGTCAGTAGAATGTGTGGCATATTAAGTGGAGAACAAGCAACACAAACACATTTTTAGCAGAAAACACATGAATACTAACTAAACCAACCTGGGTTGGTGAACAACCATGCAGATGTTTACCCCTTCAAGGGCCTCCCGGCGCAGAGCTCGAAGAAGCAACTGAGATGAAGAACTGTCCAAACCAGATGTTGGTTCGTCCAAAATCAAAAGAGAGGGTTCCATCACCATCTCCAGACCAACATTTACTCTTTTTCTTTGCCCGCCAGAGATACCACGTTTCTCTACAGTCCCCACCAGCGAGTCCCTCACTGCCTGTAGGCCTAAAGACTCGATAACTCTCTCAACAACTAAAACTTTGTCAGGCTTAGACAACTCTGCTGAAAGTCTGCAACACATGAGAAGAGAAGAGTTAATATCATGTAAAAAGTATCCATCTGAACAGTGAAATTGAAACGAGGCTCTCTGTCACTTGCCACTGCACAAGCAGGCTGCAGGACTTGTTGTACATATCTCAATTTCTATCTTTGAGCTATGCCTAGGATGATCTGAACTTACGAAAAACGAAGTCTATACTGTTAAAATTGCTGGATTTTTTTTAATCTTAATGAGCAGTATAAATCCTAAAAACACTAATGAGAAATGAGAGAATGTTCGTAGAAAACTATGTTGAAAGTCTCTTCTCACCTGCATCTAGCACTGAACCAAAGATTCTCCTCCACCGTCAAATTTCCATGAACAATATCATCCTGTGGCACAAAACCAATGATCTTTTTATATGAGCGTATGGGTTCTGCTTTCCCATTGATGAGCACAAGACCTGAAGTAGCACATCCTGTTGCCTTTCCAGCCAAAGCATTCAGAAAAGTGGTTTTCCCAGCACCAGATGGGCCCATCACTGCAGCCACACGACCAGGCATAAGTTTTCCTGTTACAGACCTCAGGAGTTTCTTCTTGCTCCCTTTCAAGGTCAGCGTGAGGTCCTTGAAAGCAACCTCGATCATGGGCCTGGTTCTTATATCGGTGTCAGTGGCCATGGAAATCACTCCGGAAAAGGTCAAGTTTTTGTTCTGCTGTTGCATGGCTTTTTCCTTCTCTATCTGACCATATGCATACTTGAAGATTTGGCTGCGCGTGTGCATCTGTTTACCTTTGGGCATGTTCTTCTTTAGGTTCTTGTCCCCTATTTCGACGTGGAAGCCTTCGTAAGTATCAGGATTCTCCTCGAGCGATTGCATCATCTTGGTAAGGTTACTTGGTTCCTTCTTTGAAGGTTGGCCGAGACCCTTGGGAGGATCTTGTCGAACAGACTTTTTACGAGAGAATGTGCGAGACAACTGTGTCTGTAAGCCAACTGCATGTTTCTTAGCAACATCTTTGGCTGTTTTCCACCTTTCACGAGCTTGGACAGTCTCTCTTGCATGTCTTGCGGCAGCTTCCCTAGATTTTGCTTGTTTTCTTTCCCGGCTGGTGAGGATTTGGCCAGAGAAGTTATAGATAATTAACAGCAGTAGACTCAACGCAACCTACAGGTATTGTCAGAGAAGGTTAGTGCCATCCATGCCACATGCACTTGCAAAACCTTCAGGCCGTAGCAACTGTAGATATGGATCTATACTGAGTACAGTAACAAGTTTTCCAAGGAATGCTAAAACCAATAATTGCTATCTTTAAGTAAAGCAGATTAAGCTAATGTTCAAAGGTGGTCTCGAGGGTTCAACTTTGATAAACAACATGAACAGGAGAATTTAGTACGAGGGAAGGCTCACCATCAACAAGGCACCAAATATTGTAATATCTTGATTGGCAGAATTTGGTGGACAAGAGCTTTTCTGAAAGCATCCTGCAAATGCATAATAATTTCAATGAAAGAAATGCCTGCACGATTTTATACAAATTCAAAAGAAAAATTATGTCCAGGCTTAACTTCTCAGAAGATTAAAAGGCAGCACACAATATTGTTGTAGATATGCAAACAATATTGGTATTATACAAAGATTATGTCATAGAAAAGAACACAACTTGTTGGGTTTGCAGTTCTAAAGATAGTAATGACCTTTACTATGATTTCAGTGTTTCTCTAATGTCTACGTTCTGTTGGAGGGCCAGTCCTCTGGGAATATAGAGAAATCACATATTGTATGGCCTGGAACATTGTTATAAATTGTCCCTTTACTTAAAAACCTTGGCAAACCATTGATGTAAATCATTAGTCAGGCCATGGAATTGTTGGTTGTTTTCCCTCTTCTCTTTTATCTCCTATTCTGTTTTGCTGCTAAAAACCAAATAACATCTTCCAAATGGAACCAATAAAAAAGTCTGAATCAGCAACATAAAGTCACTCAATTTAGGTGGCAAACATTACATTTGAAAAGTTACATTCTGCGTGGCCTATCGACTATTATAAAAAGGAAAATAGGATTTTAAATGTCAACCAAAATCTTTTTAAGACTATAATTTGTTTTTTTTTACATTAAGATGTTGACTATAATTCAGAACTAAAATACAAGTTGCTTTATAAAATATTTCAGTGAAATTTAAAATTGAAATTCAGTTGGACAATAATTCATCCATGGTTCCAAATTCCTAGCCTATCGAGTTTCATTCATCTTAAAGGACAAGTTGCAGATTGGAAGATCTACATTACTAGCTTCAGATTTATTGATGCAATGAAGAAGCAATCCTCTAAAATGTCTCCTAAGCTTAGAAAAGCATAAAAAAGAGTGGAAACACACAAGTTTTATTGTTGGGAATAATTTATGTCAAAAGCACAAAAAAACCAGAAAGAAATTGCATACAGTTTGTTGCATGAGGTCACTAGTGCTTAGCAAACATAAGAATGTTTTGATATTTATAACAAAATATATGGGAGAATGACTAAAGATGACAATATTTGTTATCATATAATTCAGTGTTAAGTCCATCTCGGGTAGAAAAGATTGGATGGAGTAATCATTTTATCAGATCATTGAAAAATGGAGGATCAGGTTGATGTTTATCAAGAATTCAGAAATCATAAGTTCCAATAAACATGGTGCAGGTAACGGGTAACCTTGAGGTGATAGAAAGGACTAGGGAAAAAAACTAAACGTAGATGATTAAGGGTACAATATCTGGAAAGAATAATGCAGGCAGGAATCCCAAAAGTAGATGACATAATGGCAAACTGTTTCACAATCTAGCACATGATCACAGCATTTTTATGACTAAAATGTTTAATCTGGACCAACAACAGCATGCTGAGGACTGCAGTGGAAACAAAGACATTGGCATTAAAGAACACAACTGGTGACGAAACAACAGAGTCAAGACAGAGACTAAACATTACCAAGTTTCTGATCTATGATTCATATTAACATCTTAGAATGAAATATATGTCAGGGAATTACTGGGAACCCAACTACTAAAAGGAACTTACTCGTCTGAGTAGTAGAACCCTTCCTGCAGTAATATCTGAAGAAGTATTTCAATGGATATTAGTTGCATAAATAAAAAATAAGGATAACATTGTGTGGTATGATTGACTTGGAGAAAATAAGTATTTTTTAACTGATACTTATAGCAAGAGAACAGGAAAATTAGACAAGTAGGTTTGAGAAACAATACCCACTACTACAAGAAATTTTCTGTATGGTGCTTGGACAGTAATATCCTGCTGGGCAAAATATTTCACTACTAGTTCCAACATCTGCCCACATATCAGCACTCCCACAGGTATGATTTGGCTGTCCAGGAGGTAGCTGATAATTGTACCTGAAATCTTCCTAAGTTTTAACATGTATATGGTAAAATATTCAAGCAATTGTATAAATATAAATTAATAAGGAACTTTAGGAGATCAGGATAAACTTACGGATCACAGACCCCAGTAGTTTTGTTCAGTTTTCCAAGTGGGCAATATGCACCTAATGGGCAGGCTGCAGGTTATTAAAGAAAATGAAATCAACAACATTTCTTAACAATTCTGGATTTCAATGAAATAGGTAAATGTATATATACACAGAAAGAATAGAAAAAAATTCCTTTTGAGCACATCAAAAGCAAACAGTAATCAGAAGCACAGCTAAATTATGTTAAAAAGTCCAAGGCTTATTTTCCTTTTCTCTTTCTGTTTTTCTTTTTTTTTTAAAGAGAGAGAGATAATATTTCTTGCACTTACACTATAGCAGACATAAAATTGCATTATTGCTTAAACATGTTAAATAAACTAAAATATTTCCTTATGGTGTTTGAGAAACTCATCCAGAGGATACATTTCAGATGTCACGTTTTTGAAATTTAAACAAATACATACTCGCTGATAACTCTTTAAGAAAGCAATAGACTTGCAAATTGAGAAAAGAGAGAGATTCAATAATGCTGTACTGTTCAGAACATAATGCAGTGACATATATGAAGGGAATCATATCAGTTTATGCTGTTCTATAATAAAATCCTTATAAGAAGCATAAATATTAGGGGAGGTCGAAACGTCTGATGCAATGAACCTGAAGGAATTCCCTCAGTTTTACCTTAAAATGAAGAGAAATCGTTGCAAGGCATAGTGCCATTGTAACAACTATACTGTCCATTAATGCAACTGCTACATTGAAACAAGTACTGTTCAACAATCTATGCAACTTAGATTTTGGCTAGGACCTAAAGGCTCTGGTACAGGTTTTTTAGTACTTGAGATAGCTCATTGTCCAACAGTAAACAACATTGAGAGTTGAGACCACATCCTTCATATGGTACTATTCAAGATAGGAAGCCATTCTTGAAAAATGAGGAAACTCAGGTAAACTGTAAATGTTTCAGATACAAAAGTCTGATATTTATATGGAAAGAACAGGAAGGAAGAAATGCAGCAGAAATAAAGAAATTCTAAAAAGATTGCAGATGTCACATATGATTTTGGAACTTTTTAACATATAAGACATCTGATTTTTCTGCAGTACTATTGTATATTTATGTAAAGAATAGAGAAATTGTTTGAAAGATTCTGAAACCTTTAACAGACATATGATAACGATCATAAACTGCAGATAGTGTAAAATTCATAGATCTGAATCCAAGAGAGAAAATAAAGATACTCACGGATCATGCAAGTGATACCATGAGGACAGAAGAAACCCTCACAACAAGGGCGACAGTTGATACTTCTCATAGGAACAACCTTGGAATCTTTAAGATTCACTTTCTGGTCTTCGAAAATACTGCAAGCCCATCCTGGCTCACATCCAGATACCCATGATGTCAGATTGCAATTCTTGTTGGGTCTTAGATAATTCTTTTTTCCACCATTATCATAGAAGCTGCTAAAGTAGAACTTAGTTTCTGCAGCCGTGCATAAGCGTCGAGTAAGATCTCCTGTCAATTCAAGTAAACAATGCATGAGAAATTTATCTATTATAATATAATTATATACCACCTGGAAAGGGATGTAAAATATGATGATTCTAGTCTGTCTATATGCTGTAGAAACACAAAAATTCATTCAAATAAAAGTGAAAAGTTATCATCCCAACTTCTTTAATAATGATTGGGAATGCACTATGAAAAATTCTTTACTTTAAGAGGTATATCATCATAATACACTGAGCCATCCAATGTCGCATTCATCTTAATGCACCTTCATTTCTCTTTACCAACCATAACTTCAGCCAATTAATTATGCTCCAGCTAGCAAGGACTGAATCTACAAACTTGTATGTTCCAGTTGTCCCTAACCAGAAGTGCATACCCTATAAAATCTGTATATATCATCTCAGCAAGCGCATTACCATGATATTTGATCTTGGCTCTGATGGAACAAACCCAAACCATTCTATTCAAGTCTTGCTTAGAGACACAAACAAAATTTTATTTTATCTTCGCAAATTCTTGCACCTACAGAAAAACTTTTTTGCTGTGTTACCTAGCCATTTATATTAACATTTTCTCAAAAATGCTCCCTTTTAAAGGCCAGAGTACCAAGTTTCTGACACTATAGACTAGATAACTATCAGTAATTTAGTAATACCATACTTGCCTGATGCCCACAATTTCATATTCCAATTTTGTATAATCAACCTTGTACACAATATTGTTTGTGCGCTTTCAGATGCAAATTTCTCATAATAATGCCAGCTATTCCACCCAAATCTTCCGTAATTGGCTTGTATTTCATGAAATTCACCTTCATTGCTTGATTACACAAGGCAATTTGAGTTCGATAGACGAGATGATTGCTCATGTTGAAATGATTGTGAACAGAGTTAAGAACGCGTTGTACTAGGAAAAGAAAGCAAGAAGAGCTCATACCATTAGTCTCTTTCATGCATTTTGACAAGAAACTCAAATCCGACGAGAAATTGAACGCCTCATTCCAATCCTTATCCCTGGAACCAAATAACATCACCTCGAGAATCAATCCCCTGCATCTAAAAAGCCAACAAACCAGCGAGACAAGAAGCGCCAGCAAACATACGCGTTCTGGACGCAGAAATCCAGATGCTGGCCCATTTCCATGGCGAAGCTGCCCGTGAGGTTCATGATCCGGTCGTAGATGACCCCGGCGAACAACGGGGACGCGCCCTGGGCTTGGCTCCCGTAGTCATAGTCGTCGTCATCCTGGCATTGCCCGAGGGGCAGGCGGCCAAGGAGGATCGCCGTGGAGGCGATGATGACGATGAACGTGATGTTGGAGGCCGGTCGCGGCCTCCGGCGGGACCATGCGGCCAGCATCACGGGATCCGTGCGATAAGGAGTGTTGGAGGCCGATGTCCAGAGGAGATCAGGTGGGGGAGGGGGGGGGTTGAACTGGGCAACGTGGGTTGTAGGAATGGTAATTTAGGGTTGTCGAGAGGGGAAGGAGGAGGTGGTGGTGCTGGTGGTGGTGCTGGTGGTGGTGGTGGAGTGGAGAGGGGTGGGGAGGAGAAAGGAACGGAGGGGAGAGAGAGACGGCGCGAATCCAGGAATGGCGAGGGCATTCGGTCGCTACTAACGGGGCGGGAAGTGAGGAGGGAGATGGTCGTCTTTAAATGACTTGGACATACAGTCCAAATGCATTGGGTTTTGCTTATATTTCCCTCCAAAATTTATTCTTATATACATCTTAAAATTCAGATTTTTGCATATATATATAATTGATAGGGAACCAAGATTTTGTAAGAATTAGTAATTATAAAATAAAACTGTATGAGGCCCACCTTAAGAAATAATTTTTCACAAGCTTATATGTTCACATCAAAAAATAAATGATGATTTGTCAATTGATAAGCATTTTCTCAAAATAAACATACTCTTTTACATTATTCATTTATACAAATTGATTTATCAATCGATCAGCATTTTCTCAAAATAAACATATTTGTTTACATTATTCATTTACACAAATTGAAATGAGTCAATAAACAATTCCCAAGAAATACAAGTTATACATTATAACACAATCATCCAAATCTTCCCAATTTTACAATATATTATAACACTATATCCACATATTTTGCAATGCTATCAAAATTTATTTTTTTAGAAGGTGTTTCCTATAGTTGTGCTGCATGTAAACCTAAATTTAGAAATATATAACCTAGTATTGTTGGGTTTCATCAATGGATCATCTTATTATGGATTCAAGATGGTTAATTCCCTATCCACTATTTTTTTAGGGTTCTCTAATTAAAAAAAATGAGTATATCCCTTTGTTTTTCTCACTAATTATTTAAATAAATTCAAATGTTTTACATTTATGTGTTTGATAATAATAATAAAAAATTTATAAAAGGATATGAACAAATATGTTTATATATTTTTATACCTTAACATTATTTTAACGATTATATATTAGACTCACTTATGATTCACTTACTAAGGTTAAGGTTGAGTAGTTGAAACATTATCTAATCTATTTATTGAATGTACCAACTAAGTAAAAACTTTGACAGGTTCAGATTTTATCTTCACTACTTATTATTTAAATAATAATAATAATATGTTATAACATTATATTTATTATATTTTGTTATAATTTATTATTACAAAAATGATGTCAAAACTCTAAATGATATTAGCACTGTATATATGCTTAGAAATTAGTAATTCTTGGATCTATCCTTTTTAAGTATACAAATAACAATAATTTTACTATTTTAAATTTAATGTTTTTAAAAACTCATTAGCAACCATGGTTAATAACTTTTAACCTGAAATTATTAGACAGAGTTTTGAAGATATATATATATATATATATATATATATATATATATATATATATATATATATATA